CTCTGGCCCCCTCATGTGAGCCCAGCCTTAGAGATGACCATGGCAAAGCATCGTTTTTCTAAAAGGTGTGGATGACTTGGGTTCTTACGACTTGAATTTGGCACTGGATGTGTTCAGTAGGACCAAATGGACATTTTTGCTGCATCTAATTCTAATGTCGCCTCAGTATAACCGGATACTAGGAGTATTTCATCTAGAAGTAGAGAGAAATAAATGTGGTGTCTAATTGTCAAGGAAATCATTAATTCATCTATTGACTCATTTAACAAATTCCTGCTGAGTGCCAGCTACGTGCTGGGCCTCATTCAGAGCATTGGGAATACACTCAGGAACGAAACAGACAAAAACTAAAAATTCCTGCTGCTTATATTCTCTTGGGAGGCCCTGACACTCAGCTTCTGTCACTAAGTGCAATGTCTGAAAAGTTCTTCCTGTGCAGTTGGTACAGCACGTGCAGTAGTTCTTACCTTTTCATTCATGGCAGGTTTGGCTTATATGAAGAGACTCCAATCTGTTGATCTATCCATCTGTTGATTGATATTTGCCCTTCAAATTTGGGGATGTTATAGAGAAAGCTGCTATGGATATTTGTGTTCAAGCGTTTATGGGAAATGTTTTCATTTCTCTAGCATAAAGCCTAGTGTGGGATTGCAGGGTCACATGGTCAGGGAAATATAAACTGTGTAAGAAATGGCCAACCTCATCCCTAAAGTGGTCTTTCCGGTGTATACGACCACCAGCAGTGTGCAGAGGTCCTGTTCCAGCTCCAGGGGATGCCCACATCCACTATTTGATGCTCTCAGTTGTTTCATTTCAGCCATTCTAGTGTCTTGTATCATGACGATTCATGGTAGTTTAATCCAACCACTAATATAAGGGACCATCTTCACTTTTGTGAAGACTTGATTATTCAACCTTTTGTCTAAGACTGTGTCTTCCTGTTGAGTTATTTACATATTCTGTACACATTATTTACATGTTCTGGAGTTCTTTACATATTCTGTATATCACTCCTTTGTGAAATATATAAAATATTTTCCTCCAACCTCTGGTTTGCCTTCTTACTTTCTTAATGCTGTCTTTTGATGAGCAGGGGATTTTAACTTTGGTAAGTCCAATTTATTATTATTATTTATGCATCATGCCTAAGAAATGTTTGTCTTTATCTACCTCTGCAGTATTATAAATTTTTTCTGTGTTTCTTTCTAAGAGTGTTATAATTTTAGTTTTTAAGTTGAGGTCTGTGGTTCATCTCAAAAGTGATTTTTGTGGATGGTGTTGTGAAGGGTTTAAGTTAACTTTTTTTTTCCTTAAAAATATCTAGTTATTTCTGCACCGTTTTTGAGAAGAGTGTTCTGTCCTCCTGGAATAGCCTCAGAGCCTTGATTCAAAAGCAGTTTGTCACGTGAGAGGGTCTGTTTTGGGATTCTCTGTCGTGTCCCACACTGTCTTGTGTCACGTCACCGGGCGGCAGCGTTGGGAGCAGTGCAGGATGAGAGAGATTATTCAAAGTCCAAGTGGAGAAAAGAGAAGCCTAGAGGGGTTACAGAGGGATGTAACATGCAGCCAGCCCAGATCCAAAGGCAGCCTCATGTATTAGTACAAAGGTGGGGCAGGTACGCAGGGAGTGTACCTGAGTGGGGATGCATCCTGAATGTAAGCTGGAGTAGAGTTGCCAGGGGCTATTGCCCGGGGTGGGGGGGCTCCATTGTTCCCAATGTCAAAGCATATTACCTCTATTGTACTGTCTGCCTGCTGTTTGCAGGAGATACTGGTTTCTCAGTATGTTCCTCATACCAAGACTTTTGCCCTTGGTGCGAGGCCCCGGGTATGACCCTACACCTAGTTCCTGACAAACAGGAACTCTGGGCACCAAGACAACATCCCTGAGAACAAGAGGGGCTAGGGATCCCACAGTCTTGATAATGCCTGATATAATGCTTGCTGATTGCAGCATTATAGTAAGTCTTACCTTCATCATTGTTTGATTGCTACCTACCTACCTACTTCTCTGTCATCTGTCTAATGTCTCTATTACCTGTCATCTAGCTAGGTGTCTCCTATCTGTCTGTCTGTCACCTTCTTGTGATGGTTAAGCCTTCCATGGCAATGTTAAATAGAAATTGTAAGTGCAGTCTTGCTCTTTGTCTGACTTAATTCCACATGGGCAGAAACAATGATTTCAATTCTTTTTTTTTTTTAAAGATTTATTTATTTATGCATACAAGAGCTGGGGTACAGGCCAGAGGTGTGGGGGTTGAGAGGATTCACCAGAGACAGAGTGGGAAGCAGAATAGATGGATCTACTGAAATACACTGCTAAGGGGAGCAGCAGGTGATACAGGAGAGGTCTGCTTTGCCATGTGATTTCTCCCTGGCCAGTCCAGGATTGAACTCCTGCTGCAGTGGCTGCAGATCACTTCATAGTGCGGTGCTTAACCCCTTGTGCCACCAGGGAGGCCTGATTTCAATTCTTTTAAATTTATTGTGAGTGACTTTGTGGCAATATAGGGTCTGACTTGCACTGAGAAGATGTGCATGCTATCGGGTCCATGTTTAGTACCAAGGTCCATTAGGTCAATGGGATGGTTATTTTTTTTAGTGTTCTTAGATCATTGTTCACTTTTGTGCAGTAATTGGTTTCTCCCCTCAGATGTAGTCCCATAATTCTCCTGCCACATGTTACCTGTGAACCATCACCATAGTCCCTTGTCCTCTTCCCTCCCCTGCTTGGACCCTCCACCTTTCCTCTCAGTTCTAGGTCAGCTTGCTAGTTTTTTCTTTTTCTTGACCTTTTGTTTGGTTTCTCTGTAGTCCACATATAAGTGAGACCATCCAGTATTTTATCTTTTTTCCTTCTGACTTATTTCGGCTAGCATAATCTCTCCAGCTCCATCCATGTGCCGCACATGGCATGAATTTGACTTTTTTTTTTTTTTTTTAAAGATTTATTTATTTATTTATACAAGCACTGGGTACAGTCAGAAGCGCTGGAGGGTGAGAGAATTCACCAGAGCCAGAGCGGGGAACAGAACAGGCAGACTGAGGAAACACACTGCTGAGGGGAGCAGCGGGAGGCAGGAGAGGTCTGCACGCCATGTGGGACCCTCGCTGGTGGCCAGGGATCTAACCAGCGCAGCAGAGGCTGTGGGCAGCTTCGCAGCCCAGCGCTCAACCACTGTACCACCAGGGGAGGCCCCGAATTTGTCTTTGTTGATCTCCAAGTAAAATTCCATTGTGTAAAGTTGTGTACTATAGTTTTTTGATGCATTCCTCTACTTTGGGACATTTAGGTTGTTTTCATGTCTTGGTTGTTTTAAATAGTGCTGCAATAAATATAGGAGTGCAGGGTTAATGGGAGGGTTATTTTTTCCACTGTTTTTTCCCTCTTTCATTATTTGTATAGTTCCGTTAATTGCTGAGAGGCGGGTTTTAAAGTTTCCAACTGTTCCCGTGGAGTTTTCTGTTTCATCCTCTGTCAATTATTGCCCCCATACTTTGAAGCCCTGATATTAGGTGCTTTCATGTTTGTCTTTTTGGTTAATAGATCCATTTATTTTAAAGGTGTTTTTGCTGGGTTTGGAATTTGGATTCATAGTTAATTTTCTCTGCTGTTGCATATTTCATACCCAGTTCGTCTCCCACTGGTTGCATTCCCCCTTGAAAATGCTAGTTTTTTTTTTTTTTCATGTTAGTGGACAGTTTTAGGTATACAGAAAAATTGAACAGAATGTACAGAGAGTTGCCATGTGCCCCCCACCTCCAGCACATACAGTTTCCCCTGTTAGAAGCATCTTGTGCCAGCCCTGGTGCATTGTTACAACTGATGAGCCAATAGTGACATTATTAACCAAAGCCTGTTAAGCATTAGCATTCACTTTAGGGTTGTACATTTTTGGTGTTTACAAACATATAATGACATTACCCACCATCATCATACAGAATAGTTCAACTGCCCTACATACCTTCTGTGCTGTTTATTCATCCTTTTCTACGAGTGGCAGCCATTGATGTTTTTATTGTCTCCACAATTTTGTCTTTTCCATAATGTCATATGCTTGAAGTCAAACAGTAAATGTAGCTTTCCATATTGGTTTTTTCACTGTATAATATGCATGTAGCTTTCCTCCATGTCTATTTGTGCCTTGTTTGTTTTTGAAGATTTATTTTATTTATTTATGCATACAAGAGCTTGGGTGTAGGCTAGAGGTGCAGAGGGTGAGAGGATTCACCAGACAGAGTGGGGAGCAGAACAGGTGGATCTACTGAAATTCACTGCTGAGAGGAGCAGCTGGCAAGACAGGAGAGGTCTGCTGCGCCATGTGGGTCACCTCCCTGGCTGGGGATCAACTCATGCTGCAGTGGCTGCTGATAGTTTCATAGTGCTTAGACTTAACCCCTTGTGCCACCAGGGAGGCCCAGCCTTACCTTGTTTGTTTTTGGTGTGGAATGATATTCCATTGTCTGCATGTACCACAGTTTATTTATATGCACCTACCAAAGGCTGTCTTTGTTGTTTCCAAGTAAACTGCTGTAAACATCTGTGTGGGGTTTTAATAGGTGTGTAGGTTTAACATGTATTTTTGACTCTTCTTGTTGGAAAACCTTTGGGCCTCCTTCCCCCAGTCCTCTCTTCTCTCAGCCCACCTCTGACAACCAGTCTGTTCTCTGTATCCATGAGCTCGGCTTCACATACAAGAGAGACTATGTGACTCTTGTCTTTTGCTGACTTACTTCATTTAGCTTAATGCCCTCCAGGTCCATCCACATTGTTGTACATGGCAAGAATTCTTTCCTTTTTTGTGGCTGAATGATATTCCATTATGTATATGTGCTACTGTTTTTTAATTTACCCATGGTTTCCACTGTGGACGTCAGTTCTCAGTGCATTTGGGCCCATACCAAGGGGCAAGGCTGGCTCATAGGTTGCTGGATTTCAAAAGAAAAAAGAAATCATCAGGGGTATTAGATAACACACTTACAGACTTTGTTTTTTCCAGAGATGACTACCACGAGGACGGATTCTGCCAGCCTTACCGGGGCATCGCCTGTGCGCGCTTCATCGGTAACCGCACCATCTATGTGGACTCCCTCCAGATGCAGGGGGAGATTGAGAACCGAATCACAGGTAGGAGCTGTAGGCCTGGGAGCAGTGACCACATCTACAACTGTTATGTTGGTTGGTAGAAAGTCAGAGCCCTTTTTAGGAGCACTTGCAGTTGCTGCCATGGTTCCCATTTGTTTGTTTAAATTGGCGAGTACAGATCACTCAGGATGTACTTCTGACACACTCAGTCAGGCCAACACCTTGGGTGTGAAGCCCTGTCTCTGCTATGAGAGCCCTGCGCCCAGGGCTTCCACCTGCCTGGCTTCTCCTTTCTTCTACCTTCCCTGAGTCTTGAAACTGTCTCGGAGCTGCACTGGGTTGAAAGGTGCACAAGTCTGACTTCAGCGATTTGGAGAGAGGTTTGCAGGCCACGGGAGCGCTGCGGTGGACTCAGACTTGTGTCAGCCTCTGTTTCTAGGAAACAGTCAGGTCTCCAATGCCTGCTTCCCAGCCTGAGGAATAAAGCTGATCACTCAGAATTGAAGCTTCTCTTTCAGATTTCCCATCTCTGGGTGAGAGCCCTCAAAGCTTCACCTTCACACATTGGCATCTTCCTGGGGAAATCCCTTAAGAAGTGAGAAAATGAATTAGACACAAGTCCTGCAAAGCCCATCTCCCGTGTCTACCCTCCTGCCCTCCCTGCAACACCATTTGCTGTCCTCTCCTGATTCTCTAAGGTGCAGGGCAAGTCTTGTGAAGGTGCAAGAGTTCCGGCACCTCAATCTAACTGGGTCCTGTACATGACAGTTCTTGACCTGGGCGGCCCTATTGCTAGGCTCCCTGGGAGGTTATGGTGAGGCTTGCAAAGGGGCTCGCAAAGCACTGCCCTATATGGAGCATGAATGGATCCATGGGGGAAATTCATGTCCGTGTCCCTGAAATGCCTTTCTGCTTTTAGGTCACCCTGGCCTTATCCTTCACCTCTAGGTCTGGAGGTCGAAAGTCATAGCCATGAAAGGTCTGTCTGGCCCGTGGTTGCGGACCCGTGAGGACAGACCTAGGTGTTCAGTGAGAAAGGGACGATAGCTGTGTGGGACCTAGAGCAACCTCAGGGGGTGCCATGATGGTCCCAGGGGAGGAAGTTTGGGAAAATGTTGGTATCTGACATAGGAAAGGCTCTGTGTGCCATTTGAAGCAAACTGGTCCAACTTTTTGACCACAATAATCAATAAAACATATACTTACATCTTAACTTTGTCAAACATACATGCATTTTGTAGAACTAAAATGAGTTGGAGGAAACATTCACCCTTAGCAAAAGCAGTGCACTCAGGATTTTCCCTCTAGTTTTCATTTCCTTAAACAGAAAATTGAGGGCCTCCCCACTGGTGCAGCGGGTTGGGCGCAGCGCTGTGAAGCTGTCCGCAGCCTCTGCAGTGTGGGTTCGTTTCCCAGCTGAGGGGGGAGAAACCCACATGGCATGGCAGACCTCTCCTGTCTCGCCTGCTGCTCCCCTCAGCAGTGTGTTTCAGTCTCTCTGCCTCTGGTGAATTCTCTCACCCTCTCCGTGCCTCTGGCCTGTACCCAGTTCTTGTATAAATAAATATATCTTAGAAAAAAAAGAAAAAACAGAAAATTGATCACAGCTCTTAAGATGACCTCGCCGCCTGACATCCCCTGTTCTGCTCTCATCATCTTGTAAAATGCTAGCCGCATTCCTCAGATTTAATTTTACCTCCCACTAATTGGCAAACATGGATTCATGGCACAAGATTGTACCTCAATTATTTCTCTAGGGATTGTTTAAAGGATTAAACAACTCATATCTCAGCAAGCTGATTTTATAGCAGTTTTTAGATAAACGTTTAGAATGAGGATACCCTAGATTTGTTGATTTTTGAAAAAATAAATTTGAGCTTGCTCTAGATTGACTGACTTGTGTTTAGAGACCTTGTTGGTTATGAAGTGGAGAGTGTGCTTGTGACATCTGGTTTCTGGGATTCTAGAGGCTTTGGGGTGGCTGCACCCCAAGAAACTTCTAGAGTGATAGGGTGTGACAAAAACCAGGACATGAGTTGTTGGGTCTCCTCAGTACCTAGACCTGCACTTTCAGAAATAACTCCTCAGCAATAACCCCTCAACATTCAGCGGGGAAGGAAGAGAAACCTTAACTAGGTCAGCTGTGACCTCCCTTGACAACCCAAAAGAAAACAGGGTTTGACTTTCTTAGATAATTCTTTCTGCTTGCGGTCAAGCAAGCAATCTCCACAGCCTCTCCTGGTGGTCACCAACTCCCCAATGATAGAACTGAGCTGGGTTCCAGCCTGGATTTTGTGAGAGGTCCTGCATATGAACCACCTACTCTCTGTAGACCTCGATTTTCATGTTGGCCCAGAAAGGAGTTAAGGCCAAGAGGAGTAAGGACAATGTGATCCGCTGCATGTTGAGTGCCAGCTCAGGGCACTGCTGTAGACACAGCCTGTTTGACCCTCCTGGACCATTCACCTGGTGCTACTTTATAGGCTCCGCGTGGGTTTTTATTCCCCAATATGGGGTCTCAATATATCACTCAACAAATAAAGGAACAGGCCCAGAAAGGACCCAGTAACCAACTCTTCGGTACCAATAATGCAAAGCCAGCGCCTGGCTCTTGCCTGGGGCCTGCTGGGCCTCGTGGGAGGTTGGATGCTTGCGTGTAGCGCCACCTGCTGTCCACTCCTAATTGGTACTACAAGTCATGGTAAAGCCTAGACCCAGGGACTAAATTCCTACTACTACTATTTTCTAGCAGAAAACAGCAGGCTGTGCAGGCCTCTCTTTCTTTAGCTTTCCCAGATCAAATCGCTATAAACAGGATTTTTATGGGCGCAAATGGGTGGGGTTCGTTCCTTTGAACCCTCATTGGGACAGCCTGCAGGAGGGGGCTGGAGGTGCCTACGCGCCTGCTGCAGACAGCCCTGCTCCTGCTCACTTGCCCAGCCTTGTCTTGGCGGCTCCTGCTCTCCGTCTGCACTTCAGGCATCAGGTTCTTCCTGTCCTCTGACTCATTCTCATCACACTCCATCCTGTGATGTCTTTCCCCTAAAAAGCAAACCAACAGACCGTGGCTCCAGACACTGCTCCTCCAGCCTGCTGCTCTGCTTCCCTCTATCACAGCTCTCCCCACAGGCAGCCTGCCCCTTTCCCCACTCTGAACCCCCTGCAGCTGTTCTGGGGCTCTCCAGGGGAGGCGTCCCTTTGTCATCTTGCTCCTCCTCCCACTGACTCTGAACTGGTGGCCAGTCTTCCTGGCATGTCTTCATCTTTGATGTGCGCTACAGGCTCCCTGCTATGGCCTGCATGCTGCTGGGCCTTACCCTGCAGACCAGGGATGTGGGGGACCAACTGTCCTCCTGTGTCCCTTCTCTTGTGTGCCTCCTGCAAGCCCAGCTACCGACCCCTCACCTGTTCATAGCTGGTTCTTAGAAAGTGATTTTGGGTCAGAAATTGGAGTCCTCTTGCCAAGGAAGACGCCTGGCAGGATGAGACTTTCAGCTATTTTTCTTCTTTCTTGGCCCACTTTTGATGGAGTGGAGCCCTGGAGCCAGGGCCCTTCTGCGTGGAGCAGACCAGGGCTGCTCACTTGCTGTGGGTCCTGTGGTGGGTAGGCCTCTCCTTGGTTGGCCTAAGGTAGGGGACCTTATGAGGATCGAGGGTGTGAGTTGGGGCCAAGGGTGCCTAGAAGGTGAGGGTGTGGGAGCTGGGTGCCAGGGATACCAGGTGGGGGGGGAAACAGGGGCAGGAGATGGGAGCCAGAGGGCCAGGTGGTGTGAAAGGTGGGTTGTTTGCACCCATAATGGGGGTGAGGTAGGAGGAGGGGCCCAGCTCTAATTTGGTCTCGCGATCTCCACAGCGGCCTTCACCATGATCGGCACCTCCACGCACCTGTCAGACCAGTGCTCGCAGTTCGCCATCCCGTCCTTCTGCCACTTCGTGTTCCCGCTGTGTGATGCGCGCTCACGGGCGCCCAAGCCCCGGGAACTGTGCCGGGACGAGTGCGAGGTGCTGGAGAGCGACCTGTGCCGCCAGGAATATACCATCGCGCGCTCCAACCCGCTCATCCTCATGCGCCTGCAGCTGCCCAAGTGCGAGGCGCTGCCCATGCCCGAGAGCCCGGACGCCGCCAACTGCATGCGCATTGGCATCCCAGCGGAAAGACTGGGCCGCTGTGAGTGCCGTCCAGCAGGGCGGTCCTGGGGGTCTGAAGAGGGCGCGACCCAATCCAGTGCGTGTGGGGCGGCTTCTAGTCACAGGTCTTGAATTTCCACAGCCAGATGCCATGCCTATTTATAGAACATGGAGCCTCTACTCCAGCCCCAGTGGGAGTGATCTTATTGCCTATCTACCCTGCAGGCTGTTAGGAGTCTCAGGAGAGTCAGGGTCAGCTTCCAAACCTGCCTTGGGAAACAAGCACCTAAAGGCTTTGGAAAATGTGTGGATTCTCCCCTCCTCCCCCGCTTCTTGGAGCCTGTCTCTGAAACTGTCTCCAGAAGGCTGGAGGATTCTTAGCCTTGGGCTGGCTTAGATTGGGAGATGGTGCAGGTCCAGCCTGGTGCGAGCGTAGGAAGGACCCACAATAACCAGTCATCACTGTAGGAGGAATAGAGGAGCCCCCCCCCCTTCTCTGCAGGAACATGGGAGCTAAGTGATGAGTGGGAGTGGGGGACACTTAATTCTGAGTCTGAGGCCCAGGAATGGCCTATTTGTCGGTCCCAAAAGGACCGGAGCATGTTCCTTGCACCCCCACTTTCTGCCAGCAGATGGCCCCACTTTCTGGAGATTTAGCCAACCCTGCCTGGGCAGCCCTGGCAGGTGACCTTGCCCTGGGAGAGAACACACCCTACAGGCGGTTCTGCCAACCCCTTCAAGGAAAAACACCTGCTCTTGTTACCAGCTACATCAGGGCTGCAACCCTCCTGAGGGGTGAGGTCTAGATGGGAGACTTCCTATCTCTTGATCTCCGGGGCTGTACATACTGGGGGTTGCTGGTAGGGGTGCAGCAGAGCTCCCCACCCTGGTAGTCAGAGCCTGGTGTCCAGGCCCCTGGCAAAGGTGCAAACACTGATTTCCTGAGGATGAGCTCCCGCACATGGCCGGAACACTCGTCCCCTTATACAGTCATGGGTCACTTAACAATAGGGCTATATCCTGAGACCTTCATTGTTAGGCAGTTTCACTGTTGTATAAGCACCAGAGTGGAATTGCACACGCCGAGATGGTACAGCCTATTGTACGTCCAGGCTTCATGGCAATGGCTGTTGGGACCACCGCCATGTATGTGGTCATTGTTGGCCGAATGCGGTGGTGCTGCACATGTCTGTATTACAGGTGAGCACTGCACCCTCTGGTGCTGGGCTGCAGATTTACATGAGCTGGTATTGGGGCTGTTCTTAGAACAGCGCCTCCTTGTGGTGAGCTTGCCCGAGCTTGTTGCGCCTGTGCTCCCCAGCCTTGGTTGGGTGGCCTGCTTGGAGGGACTCTCTCTCTCTGCTGAGCTGTCTGAGCTGTCTCCTCCTGAGTAGTAAAGGGGACCTGAGATTGTGGACCAGACCTGGGAGTTTATCATCCTTCCTGCTTCTAGCACAAGTGAACTTGAGGTTGAGTTGATGTCCCCATTCTGAATAAAGGAGTGGCTGGTGGTTCCCAAAGGTGGCTTCAAGGTCACAGAATAACTTCTAATAGATTTTCTTCTCCTTATATGTCACGGTTGTATCTCAAATTTAATTTGTGGGCTTGCAATTTTATTAAGTCAATACTTAATAAGTTAATAAAAATGAATGCTGCTTTTCTTGGAAATTATATAAAATCCTTCAGTCTTTGGGAAGTTCCAGTTTGGGTCCAAGTGGTTTAAGTGGCCCACTATGCATGCAAAGTGGTTTTGTTATCCTGTTTCTTTTTGGTATGGTTGAAAAAAGGAACCCCAGTGGACTTGAACCCCCAGCTGGTTGAACCCCGCTGATTGAATCCCAGCGGGAAAGGTTCTTGACTTCACAGCCTCCTAACGCCTCCTCTCTCTCAGACCACCAGTGCTACAATGGCTCCGGCACGGATTACAGAGGCACAGCCAGCACCACCAAGTCAGGACACCAGTGCCAGCCCTGGGCCCTGCAGCACCCCCACAGCCACCACCTGAGCAGTGCAGACTTCCCTGAGCTGGGCGGGGGGCACGCCTACTGCCGGAACCCCGGAGGCCAGATGGAGGGCCCGTGGTGCTTCACGCAGAATAAAAACGTACGCATGGAACTGTGTGACCTTCCCTCTTGTAGTATGTATTCTCTCTCTTTTTTTTAAAGTGTTGACTGTTGAGTGCTCTTTGTGATGACGGGGGGCCAGGAGCCTGGTAGCCCGGGCCCCAGCCCACGTCAGCACCGTGCCATTTGTTTTAAGGAAAGCTGTTGCCGGTTTTAAAAGTAGTATTGCCTCATTATAGGACATTTTAAGTTATAGAAAAGTCTGCAGAGTAATATACAAATCACCCCACTTGGTGGAGACCGTGTTTACATTCTGGGGTCCCGCTGTCTACCCCTTTCCATGGATGGCCCTGGGATGTTCCATTTGGCATCTTGTTTCTCCATTAACCTTGTCACATAGCATTTCCCAGAACTAGTAAAAATGCATACCATTACTATGACAGCCACCTGCTCCGCCAGAACTTGTAGTTAGGGGCACCTCTGCCCCCCCACCCTTGTTTCCCACTCTGCTCAGCTCACGTGGGCGTGGCCAAGTGAGGAGAGAATAGGACTTAAATCTGGTAACCATTTCCCCTGTAATTTCTCTGTTAAATTTTGAACAGGAGAAGAGTGTTGTTAAGGGTTGCAAACCTTACAGACACGATTATTTCTGTATTTCCGTCATTTCTATCTCACCATTCTAGTCTGCATGGGATCTGAGCTCCGCTGCCTTCTTACTCTTACATTTTGGAACCTGGAGGCAGAGGTGGAAAATTCCTGTGAGAAGGCTGATAAAGGGAGAGGAACGGGTGAAGCAAATCAAGGCTCACATTTTTCTGGAAACTTCCCGGCAGTGCGGGGTCTGGTGTGTCTCCAGCCTGCTGGTGATGGGAGTGAGATCTGGTGTTCGTGACCTGAAGTAATTTGGCAATTCCAGAGTTATCGCTCCCTTTAAGTCAGCACTTCACACATACACTTTTAAGAATGTGTGTTCATTGCAGACAGATTGTCCTGCTCTGTGGAGTGCTACAGTTGTTTAAAACAATTTCCTGCCAGGAAGGGTGTCCACAGGATCCTCTAAGGGAGAAAACACGCTGTAGGGCAGTAGCTTCCTCCGTCTCTCTTCCCTCTTCCCCTCCCTTCTGTGACCTCCTCTCCCCTTCCCTCCCCTCTCTCTTTATAAAAGAAACAATGAGGGGCCTCCCTGGTGGTGCAGGGGTTAAAGACAGTGCTATCAAGTTATCCATAGCCACTGCAGCACCAGTTCCATCCCCCATCCCGGCTGGCTGGCCAGGGGGCAACCCACATGGCGCAGCAGACCTCTCCTGTCTCGCCCGCTGCTCCCCTCAGCAGTGTATTTCAGTCAGTCTGCCTGTTCTGCTCCCCACTCTGTCTCGGGTGAATCCTCTCCCCCCACACACACCCCTTTGGCCTGTACCCCAGCTCTTCTGTGCATGAATATAGATAGGTCTTTAAAAAATAATTTTAGAAATGTAGTGAGCAATATGTATATTCTTTGACCTAATGATTCCCTGAAATCTTGTATTGCAGAAATACTTGTACTCATAGGGTAGAAAAGCAGAATCATTTTTAATAGTGAATAAGAAACAGACTAATTTTTTTTATCAGTAGGGTTGGATTGGACACTTGAAATACATCTATACCATGGAGCAGTGTCCGGCTATAGAAGAAAGCCCAGGATTCTGTTTAAAATTCTATTTTAGGAAATTATCTAAATCCCTAATTCTGTATGTCCAAATAATTGCTTGGCTGTTATTTCATGGTCAAATTGAAATACACATGAAAAATAAAGTGAACAACCAACCTGTTAACAGTAGCATAGCCTTTGGTGAAATGGGCTATTAGGAATATTCACTGTTTTGTTTATTACAATGAATAATAAGCATGTGTTCTGTGGATAATTTTTAAGATGCTGGTGAAATGGTCATCCATGTTTGGATAGTGCTCACACGTCTGATCTTGACTTGAGGGGGGAGGGCAGCGTCTCCCCTGAGGGGGCAGCATCTCCTCTGAGGGGGCAGCATCTCATCAGTAATGAAAATGGAGCCAGTGACTCCTGTCCCCACAAGGGCGCGAGAACCATTTGCTTTGCTTTATCTTATTTTGGAGGCCAGAGGGATAGACTGGGTTTTGGGTTTTGGACAATGTTTTAGGGTTTTTTTTTATTTTTATTTTTTAAACCATGGGAGACAATTGCGGGTGTTTTTAGAACCGAATCAGCTCTTTCACGGACCTCAGCGAGCATAAATCACTTGTTTGCTTCAGATAGAGAGCTCATTAGCCCACTAGTCATGCACCCTTGGGCCCATGTTGGTATTGGGAGGCAGCTTTTGGAGAACTCGCCCCCCACATCCCCACAGTGGAAGATAGATCTGCTGCCTTAAAGCACGGAACCCCCAACGCTAACCCCTTGGTGGGGACAACCTGCCTGGTTCCTGAGGTCTGCTGCTCCGAAAATCCTGTAGAGGGAGACAGCACGCCACTCTTCACCCTGGGGGGGAAACAACAGAAAACACAAAACCTTGTCGGGAAGCCCCAGACAGCTTGTACATCTACTGTCACTGTTCAGGAATTCTTGTTTCTGTCCGTGTTGGATTGGGTCAACCTCACCAGCTGCCAGGGCTCTTTTAATTGCGTTTTTAATTGGCATCCTGACGAAGATGCTACCATACAAAAATGTGGAAAATACTAAAATGTTGAATGAGGAATCGTTTCTAATCCTAGGAAGGAAGGAGGAAGGTGTCAGATGTGTTTCATCAAGTTCAGTAAAGATGAAATAAGACGACGCCCCCATTTCTGATGGTGTCTGAGATTAGGAGGACCTGCACTGGCGACTTTGACTAACAAGGCCTTTTGAGATCGCGCTAGTCCTCTGTTTCATTTTGTGTGCCTGGTGGGCAGTTGTCAAAGTGTCACAAGGTACAGGAGGATGAGCATTTGGGGGCATGTCCCCCAATTTTTAAAGTCTGTGCACAGGTTTGTCCCATTGTGCAACTTATCCTGATCGTCCACTTGTCTTTAAATATTTGAGTTGGGGGTGCAGTGTGCTGGTGGCGAATGTTGAGTGGAAAGGGGCATGCTTTCAGAAAACTCACCAGCTCCTTACTCTCCACAGGCCCCCAAGACAGCAGCAAGATGGGGATTCTGTACATCTTAGTTCCAAGCATAGCCATCCCCCTGGTCATCGCCTGCCTCTTCTTCTTAGTCTGCATGTGCCGGAATAAGCAGAAGGCATCTGCCTCCACGCCCCAGCGCCGCCAGCTGATGGCCTCCCCCAGCCAGGACGTGGAGATGCCCCTCATCAGCCAGCACAAGCAGGTCTCTCTGCCCACACGTTGCTCGGGCTGCTCCTTCTCTTCTCTCGGGGGTGGTTACCCGATGTTATGGGTCTCCAGTTACTGATAGACAGACGTCTCTTCTGCTGTCCTTCGCTCTGCCATTTCCTCTCTGACATAGCTCAGGACTGATGCCCCTGGGAACTCGATGGCAGCCTCAGAGCTCACAGCCGCACAGTTGATGGGCCGCCTCCTAGAGCAATGCTGCTGTCTTGGCCGCAGCTGTCCCCACAGGAGGACATTATAATAGCAGTTTGGGGAGAATCATCCAGGCTTTGAAGGGGCTCTTCAGGGTTTTCGGGGGAGATGACTGATGCCTGTTCTGTAGACAGCAGTCACTGAGTGTTTGCTGGGTGCTGGGAAGGCTCAATTGGGGAGGATATGGAACCCCCTGGGCTCAGGGAGATGAGGCTGGCTGCACAGAATGGAGAGTCTAATCAGGAGGGGCTCAAAAACAGGCCCATTGAGGTGCCTCCTTCCAACAGCTCGCTCCCTCAGCGACCAGGTTCTGAGAAAAGACATTACGACACTAGGTTGCGCTGCTGTTGGCAGTGGTGGCTTGACTTGGTTGGTGGGTGCAGCTCAGGGAGCAGCAGGAAAGGCCATAGGTGAGGGTACAGCAGGGGGGCACAGGGTACTTTATGCTGGCACGTGGCATGACTAGGTGAGTGTGTGAGAGTGTGAATAGGCATGTACACACCCACACTCTGCGGTAGCATTTCTGCCATACGTCGGAAATAACTTGGCAGGCAGGTGGGGCCCGTTGAAGGTTTCAGGCTGCCTTTTGCCTGGGCTGGGAGGCTGAGTCTGGGTGGGGGGGGCATGTGGGTCCTTGGGGGCCATGCTGTCCGCTGCCTGCCTGCTCCCCTCCCTGTCTTGGTGACAGAGATGTTTCACTGGCTTTTCTTCTCAGCAGGCCAAACTCAAGGAGATCAGTCTGTCCACAGTAAGGTTCATGGAGGAGCTGGGGGAGGACCGGTTCGGCAAAGTCTACAAAGGCCACCTGTTTGGTCCGGCCCCAGGGGAGCAGACCCAGGCTGTGGCCATCAAGACACTGAAGGACAAAGCGGAGGGGCCGCTGCGGGAGGAGTTCCGGCACGAGGCCATGCTGCGGGCGCGGCTGCAGCACCCCAACATCGTCTGCCTGCTGGGCGTGGTGACCAAGGACCAGCCACTCAGCATGATCTTCAGCTACTGCTCCCACGGTGACCTCCACGAGTTCCTGGTCATGCGCTCGCCGCACTCGGACGTGGGCAGCACGGATGACGACCGGACAGTGAAGTCCGCCCTGGAGCCCCCCGACTTCGTGCACGTGGTGGCTCAGATCGCCTCAGGCATGGAGTACCTGTCCAGTCACCACGTGGTCCACAAGGACCTGGCCACGCGCAACGTCCTGGTGTACGACAAACTGAATGTGAAGATCTCGGACCTGGGGCTGTTCCGGGAGGTGTACTCGGCCGACTACTACAAGCTGATGGGGAGTGCACTGCTGCCCATCCGCTGGATGTCCCCCGAGGCCATCATGTACGGCAAGTTCTCTGTGGACTCGGATATCTGGTCCTACGGTGTGGTCCTCTGGGAGGTTTTCAGCTACGGCCTGCAGCCCTACTGCGGCCACTCCAACCAGGACGTGGTGGAGATGGTCCGCAGCCGCCAGGTGCTGCCCTGCCCGGACGACTGTCCCGCCTGGGTGTACGCCCTAATGATCGAGTGCTGGAATGAGTTCCCCAGCCGGCGGCCCCGCTTCAAGGACATCCATAGCCGGCTCCGGGCCTGGGGCAACCTGTCTACCTACAACAGCTCGGCACAGACCTCGGGAGCCAGCAATGCCACACAGACCAGCTCCCTGAGCACCAGCCCTGTGAGCAACGTGAGCAACGCCCGCTACGGGGGCCCCAAGCAGAAGGCCCAGCCCTTCCCGCAGCCCCAGTTCATCCCCATGAAGGGCCAGATCAGACCCATGGTGCCCCCTCCCCAGCTCTACATCCCCGTCAACGGGTACCAGCCGGTGCCTGCCTACGGGGCCTACCTGCCCAACTTTTACCCTGTCCAGATCCCGATGCAGATGGCCCCGCAGCAGGTGCCCGCCCAGATGGTCCCCAAGCCCGGTTCCCACCACAGCGGCAGCGGCTCCACCAGCACAGGGTATGTCACCACCGCGCCCTCTAACACGTCGGTGGCGGACAGGGCGGCCCTGCTGTCAGAGGGCACTGAGGACGTGCAGAACACCCCCGAAGATGTGGCACAGAGCCCCGTGCAGGAAGCGGAGGAGGAAGAGGAGGACGGCTCCGTCCCGGAGACCGAGCTGCTGGGAGACAACGACACTCTGCAGATGGACGAGGCTGAGGTGCAGCTGGAGGCCTGAGGGCAGCGGGGCCGGGGCGCTCCAGGAAACCTCTGCCGCCTTAGAGGGCGAGCCCTGGGTATTGATGACTGGCTTGCAGGTTCTTCACGGGAGGTTTTGTCATCCTGTCCTGCATAGAGCTGCCACTGAGGCCACCGTGTGATTCGAGGGGCCTGGCCAGGTGGAGGTGGCCAGCAGCAAGGGGTGCCCCCACTGCCTGCATTTTCCTGGGGTAAACTGGAGGTGGGCAGTACCTATGCTTCAAGGGAAAAGAGGTGGCAGCTTCCCTCCACTTTGCATATGAATCCATTTGTGCAAACCTCTGAGAAAACAGGCCTGCCAAGGTGGGACCTCCGGCTCTGTGAATCCTACCTGCCAGCCTGTTGGCTGAGGATGAAGAGGCTGCTCTTCTCTGTGTGCCCTCCTGCCATTAATATATGCCTCTTTGGCTGCCAAAGACTGATGGGAACTGGGCACTGCCGCCTGCTGCCTGCCTGAGTACAAGAAAAAGGGGTTTCTTAGGAGTTCCCCGATTAAACTGTGCCTTAAAAGAAACCAACATGATTTTTGTATTTTTGTGAAGTGATTTTAACGATACTGCATATGTCTTTTGCCCACTTTCTTGGTTTCTTGGGTTTAGAATGTTCCAAGGGAAGCAATATTGTACAGAGCACAGTATTGTTATTTTTTTTAATCATGTACAGACCTTAAATGTAATTTATATGGTTTTTGTATGCCATTTCCATTGAAGTATTTTGAGCTTTAAAATAATGACTTAGTAATTTAAGTGTTTACGTTCCCCACTTTGGGATGTCACCTGATTGTATTCTGTTGGCTTGTGTTTGTCCCCTATGTAAGCGAGGTCCTTTCATTTCAGAGCTCATGCTGGAGAAAGGCTGCAGGCACACTGCCTCCCTCCCGCCCCCGGGATGGGGCTCACCTGTAACTCTCGAAACCCGGTGTATCCAATAAAGCGAAAAGGAATGTTCTGTTGGCTCTCTGCAGGTTGTGGGGACATTGGGTGGGGGAAGGTGCTGGGTGAGGGAGACTCTCAGTGGGTGATGATTTGGGCCGAGGGTCTTGGTGGGGTCCTAGAGTCTAGGAGGGCTTGTTCTAGGCCAGCAACTCCTATTTGGATGCAGATATATATGCCTGGATATATAAAGGATGGATTTAAATTCCATTGCTTCCTCTGTTAAAGATCTCAAGGATGACAGTGCATATGCATCAGGATGCTCTTTGGTGTGAAACCTGCTCCCTCCTGAGGTCCAGAACCCTTGTGTTTAGACCTGGTGCCTGACACTTCCCAGGGCTCTGAAGCAGGGCTCTTCAGGGCTCCTCTTGCACCCACCCCCTGTCCGGGGTACTCAGGGCCCCTTGTGCTGGACTTTCTGCAGTTGGGCAAACTGAACCAGAGACACCTGAGTCAGGGTCACCTGGAGGTCAGGGGCTCCTGAGCCCTGGGAGAAGCTGGGAGGTGCATCTGCTAGTCAGCAAAGACCCCTCTTGCCCCAGGCCTGGCCCTTCCTGCCCACACCCCGCTACATGGACAGACACAGCCTGGGAGGTTTTCTGTGTTTCTGGGAGCCTACAATAAGGCTCAGCCAGGATTTGTGTGACATTAAACATTGGTTCCTTAGCCTGCCTCAGAATCCTTGCAGGGGTTGTTACAAAACCAACCCTGCCCTCTGCCCTCCGCTCCTGGCAAGCCCCGGTAGGACCAAGACTGCATTTCTAGCTGGTGCCCCAAGGTTCTGATGTTGCTGAGAGCCACTGAGTTACAGAATCCATCAATCCTGTCTCAGGGCCTCCTTGAACTGGTCTCCCAGTTCTTCCTGCCTTGAGGCTTTAGCACAATGCTGCTCAAAGATGGAGCACACTCAAATGAACTGCCTTTACCTCTTTTTTTTTTTAAGATTATTCATGCATACAAGAACTGGGGTACAGGCCAGAGATGCAAGCAGGTGAGAAGATTCACCAGAGACAGAGTGGGGAGCAGAACAGGCAGGCTGACTGAAATACACTGCTGAGGGGAATAGCAGGCGAGACAGGAGAGGTCTGCTGCACCATGTGGGTAGCTCCCTGGCCGGCCGGCATGGAACCCGCGCTGCAGAGGCTGCGGACAGCTTCACAGTGCTGCACTCAACTGGCTGTGCCACGGTAGGGGTAGGGGGGAGAGGTGGAGGGAGGCCTGCTTTTACCTCTTAATGTCAGGATGGACTCTCTCTGTTGGGTGGAAACTGATTTGATTGGGGCAAGGATCGGAACTGCAAAACCCTTGGCCCCCCAGTGCCTTGTTGCTTGTGCAAAGAACTTGGGGTTAAGTGGAGAGCTTCTCATTCCACTGATCTGAAAGAGGAACTTCATTTTCCGTCTAATTTGGTACACCTGATGGTTGAACTGTTCCTCTGAGACCTGAGAGTGAAAAATAGGAAACGGTTCTCTGGCTTCTCTCTGCAGGCGCAGTCAGGGGGGCGAGACCTGTGTTGTTCACTGGCCCCGGGCCCCACAGAGGAACGTGATGCCCCCGGCAGCTGGCAGTGCTGCAGAGCCAAGATTCTGCAGAAAGATGTTGGGAGGTTTTTTTTGGGGCAGATTAAGGGAGTTTTGATTTGGGGGATTTTGTTTTGCTAAATGGAGCATTTGTTTGTTATGGTTCGTTCTGATTGTTGAATCTTGATGCATCCTTTGGGAGATTTTTGGACTTTCAAAGTTCATTCACTTGAACAAGTGACGCAGTGGGGATGTTCCAGAACAGCTAACTTTAGAGATGAGCTGTGTGACTCAGATGAATGTCCCTAGTACCATCCACCCAGCAGCAAGCCTGTTCACCCCAGCAGAGCGCCAGTGCTGCACTTGAGCAACTCACCTGAGTGTAATTGACTTTCATCGAGTCATGTGAAGCTGCAAATGCCTTAAGCACTCCTTATGTTTGTGACACACAATATTCATTGAAACAGCTTGTCAGAGCAATGGCTAATTTTTTTGGTACTAATTTAGGGCATTTGACTAAGTACAGTATACTCTGTGTGCAGTATACTGTACCGTGTACTCCAGCTTCCCATGAAATCAGGAAAACTCTTGCCTTCAATATGGATGCACTGTTTATATACACTCACTGGGTTTCCTAGTTCAACCTCCAAATTCAGCATCGATGGCTATTTTTGGATGGTTTGTGATGTTACAGCTGATTGAAATGAATCTTGCACAGATATTTGTCTCATGAGTTTCTTACTGAAACATTTAAAATCTTTTGAGACGAAGCTTTAAGAAGGAGGTTGTATCAAAGTAAATCTATGTCAGAGTAGGGTATTAAAACCTTCACAGAGAACCAGTGTGACTTTCCCAAGATCAGTCCCTCTCTGTCTTCCCCCTCACCAGGCCCCAGAGTAGTAGCAAATCCAGGCATTTCTCAACCTGGTGGAGAGCCAGGCTCCATTCAGATTACCAGGCCCTCCAATAAGGTGGTGAGCATTATTGTCAGGTGTTAACACTTAGATAGTCCAGCTTCCACAGCATCGTATTGCTTTTTTGATTTCATTTCATTCTTTTTTTTTTTTAAGATTTATTTATTTATTTATACAAGAACCGGGGTACAGGCCAGATGTGCGGGAGGGTGAGAGGATTCACCGGAGATAGAGCAGGGAACAGAACAGGCAGACTGACGAAATACACTGCTGAGGGGAGCAGTGGGCGAGATAGGAGAGGTCTGGGATCGAAGCAGGGCTGCAGAAGCTGTGGGCAGCTTCACAGCGTGGCGCTCAAACGCCTGTGCCACCAGGGGAGGCCCTTCATTTCATTCTTATAGCTCAAAGACGGTGGGAAGAGCTCTCCCAGCCCCTGATAGTAACTACTGTTACTGGTTTTTTGAGACTCTTCCCAGAGGCCTTTTATTGCAAATATAAGTAAATGCACATGTATATTCATCTATCCTTTTTTTCCCTTTTAACATAAGTGGTATCAGGATGCCGTGGAGATTTCCCCCTCTCTGGGTTCTTCTCAGGCTGGATGAACTTACAAATAAACATCAGACAGATCAGTAGGAGGAAAAGACCAAATTTAAATATATACTGTAAATCCTGCAGTAAATGGGACATCTGGGGGTTTATATCTTGTGCTAAGGAAACTGGGGCAACACAGAAAGAAAAGGGGTGTAGCGTAAACGAGTCAGAAATCAGGCTTTTTACTTTGTTGTGTTTTGTACTGTTGTTATTTTTTTTATACTGATGTCTTATTTGGTTCCCCTATATTCCTGCTATAAGTGAAACCATCCGATATTTTTCTTTTTCCTTCTGGCTTATTTAACTGAGCACAATTCCTTCTAGTTCCATCCACGTTGCTGCGAATGTCATGAATTTATCTTTTTTGATTGCTGAGTAATATTCCATTGTGTATATGTGCCACATCTTCTTGATCCGGTCATCTATTTTCGGGCATTTTGGTTGTTTCCAGGTTTTACCTATTGTAAATAGTGCTGCAATAAACATAGGTGTACAGGTGTTCTTCTGAATCAAAATAATAATAGTATAAAACACAACAAAGCAAAAATGGACAATTACAAACCAGAGACATCCTGCAGGGGAGGAGGCGGGAGAGGGATGAGAGGGAGGGAGGGAGGAGCACAGGGGACTGAGGTGATGGTGCACGGGTGCATTGGGGAAGGAAACTATGGGGACTACACCTGAGGGGTTGGGGGGAAGCAAATATTGTTTAAAAATGAACAATGATGTAAAAAATAAAAAAAATTAATATAAAAAAACAACTATAGGAAAAACATCCAAATTCTAATTTAATTCCTTTGTAAATTAGTCACTTAAAATTTGCAGTAAATGATTTATTGACATAAAAAAAAATCAGGCTTTTTAATGCCCTCCTGCCATTAGCCTCTATGGCTAGCACCTGCAGCCTTGAGCGCCTCCTATGAGTGTGGACATCCGGGCGCAGGGAGCATTGTGTGTGCACGTTAGGTGCGCATGTGTAAATGGGGACACCTGTGCCCAAGTGAGGGGATATAAGGGCGGTGTCTGCCTGCAACTAAGAGTATGCTAAGGGAGGATGCTGGTCTGTCCCCTAATTTAGTATTAAGGACCTGTAGAAATCTACCGCAGGAAAAAGAAAAATCTGCCAAAGGCGCCAAAATTATCTTTTCATCTGCCAACAACAGGCAATGAATCTCCCCAGCCTGGGATGGGTGCAAAACGAGGAGTCCACGTCACCAAGGAGGAGATGGCTCCTCCTTACTTCTCGGGGTTTGCTCTGTCTTAAAATAGGTTATTCTTTAAGATCGCTTATTCCTGAAGCTGGACCTAAATCTAGGTCACCTGCATTCTTTTAGTAACAGTTTCTCCCAAGACACAGGGCCTCCACTGACCTTAGTTCTACATACTAAGGTTGCACATACTGGAAAAAACCTATCTCAACTTTCTGGGGAGGCTATTCCTCCATTGTAACCTCTACAAATTACTTTCTGCCTTTTTTTTCACATAAGAGTATGTTTTGGGGATCTTTGCCTGACTGTGGGAAAAGAACTGCCTGTCTGGAGGAATACGGTCTCTGAAGGAATTCCTGGCAGTGTCCCAGGTGGGGGTGGGGGGGCAGACATGAGCTGTAAAGTGGCAGGTAATTGCCTCTCCCCAGGCCCCCACTGCTGCTCTGTGCCTGCTACCAGCATCTCTCAAAACATTGGCTCCCCAGCCTACAGGGTTATTCTCCTGTGGGCCTAGGTAGGAAGATGTGCCTGGAGAGGCTGGGGACACTCACTGAGCTCTAACCCAGCTTTAAAAAGGCAGGTCAATTTAGCACTTTTAATTCATTGTCTTTTCATTAATTCTGTTCACTCTCCCAGTCTGAAGTACTGAGGTTTCAGTGAAAAATGTTCCCAGAGACAGACCATCCTTTGGGTACTGGAAGGCCTTAGGGGGCCCAGGGAAAATGAACTCTAGAAGCAGCTGCAATTCCCACTGTAGGGAGCAGGAATGGACTCAGTGCAGGTTTTCTGATCCCATGC